TGAACATTTAACTGGGTAAGTAGACAAAAAATTGGGTCCATATTTACATGATAAATATTTATGTCTTTCCAATTTTTGTAACCCTAGATATAAATTGACATATCAAAAGGAAGATAAGGATAAAATAAAAAATTGGATAAATAAACAGATTCAAGAAATGCAACAAAGTATTTTAGAACTTGATTCCTTTGATTCTGATTTTGACGAACCTTCAGTACATAACACAAATGAAGTAATTGCAAAACCAGCTTATCCAAAATTCAATGAATGTTTTCAGAAATTTTCTAAACTGATAACTATAGATGAATGTGATTCCAATTTTGTAAATACTGAAAATAGCAAAAAGTTAAAAAGATTAAATTCTAATATACAAATGATAAACAAGGAGATTGAAGAGTATCTAAAGCTACCTCTTGTCAAGGAAAAAGAAAGTTCTCTCTTGTTGTGGAAAAATTGTGAAAACTCTTTTAAAAAATTACCTAAAAGTTTCTTTCAGCACCACCATTTTTTGTTGAAAGTGAAAGACTTTTTAGTACAGGTGGCATCATTTACGAACCCAATAGAAACAGACTATCACCAGAAAGTGGCGAAAAACTAATGTTTATTCATTATAACTTGAGGACAACAAATGAAAAATGATTTTCACTCATGTTTTTAATGTTTTATTTTTTTAATAATCGATTATTTTGTTAGGTGAAAGTTTAAAATTGTTGATTTGTCTAGTTTTAATACTATTGCATGTTTAGTTATATAATAATAACATAATAGTATATGTTATATAGTTATATAGTAATAACTACATAATAAATTGGAGCATTTTTATGTTTATGATCACCACAATAACATTTTTCCCTAAGTTTATTTCTTTCAAATAATTTTCTTAGTTTAACTAGTTGAGTAGCCAAATTACAAGCAACTTTCTTTATAAAAGTTTATTTTATATTACATTTTTGCGATTTTTCCAAAATAAAAAATTTGCTTCTTGCATGAAATTTATAACTTAAGTTAAGTTTAATTATTATTATTATTATTGTATATAAAAGGATAAAATTAACTATATTGCTCAATTGAAAGGATTTTTCATTTTACACTTATACTAGTACTATTTTTGTCTAAATGATGTAAACTAGTTTTACGTAATACATTCGGTTTTAAGTAACACATGCAATCAAATTAAATTTATTCTAAATTCAAAAAACTTGATGTAAATCTAATGTACTCATGTGTTTTATTGAAAAACATATTCTTACCTACTATGCGTTGTAGATAAGAATCGGGTTTTCAATAAAAAGCCATATCTATTGGTACTGTAGCTATTTAGGCTGAGTTATGATGATTTGATGATATTTATTTCCAAATTAGCATTTTTAGCAAATGTTCGGCCGAACATTTGTCAAGGTTTGGCCAAACCAAACGTTCGGCAAAACAGCCGAACGTTTGGTTTCGCCGAACGTTTGGTTTTGCCGAACGTTTGGTGCATCCCTAATAAAAAACTTATTTATCAGTTTCAATATTTTTCATTATTAGTTGTACACTATCAACTTGATCCAATCAAGTACAATCAAATTCGTCTAACTATTTGTATTGTTTTTTAATGAAATAAATTGATTTTAGAATATGCCTCTAGACACAAATTGTTACACTAATTTACTAAGAACAGATGTTGGTGATGCATCAAAGGCTACAAGGAAGAGGAGACAATTTTATTTGCTAGATTTTCTTTTACAAAGTTTACCCCCCCAAAAGACATCCTAAAAATAGAGAAGGGGTTCAGAAGGGGCTACTAACCTAATCTTAAACTAAGTTAATTAAATCATTAAGTAAAATGGTAACTATGAACTAAAGCATTACATTTGTTACATATTTACATGTCAACTTTTTAATGCAATTTTTAAAATTATTTAGCACCACAGAGATCAACATTAAAATTGGTAGTTCAGTTGATAAAACACTGGAAAACTTGGCAAAAAAACAGTTTTGCATTTTTTAAATTGTAAAACCGGGTAACCGGTTCTACAATTTATAACCAATCTAAAATTAGAATACAATCTAAAACAGGGGAACTGGTTTTACACCAGTTTTTTTATTACAAAAGCAAACTTTTATTATTGCTGTATAAATCCAATTTAACCTACAGAGCTGATATACTGGAATAAGATCTGTAAACTAAAGAAAAATTGTTATACTTAAGCTAAAATATATATATTTTTTAATTATTTATTAAACATTAATTTTTATGAATGTACAGTAACATTATCTTTTTTATTCATTATTAATTTAGTTTGAATCTAATAAACTTGGATCATCTCTTCTTTTAAGACTCTTTTTCCTTTCTAATTCTGCAGCAACTCATTAAACTATTTTTTTTTTACTGAATCATTTTTTAAAATACTATTCATTACTGAATATACTATAATATAACTAACTAATATATACTATAACTAACTAAAAATTATGCAATATTATAATATTTAAAGTAGTTTTGTAATTTAGACTTTAAAGTCTAAATTACAAAAACAAATTCATTGAAAAAAAATTTTATTCTGTTAAAATTTATATATTGTTAAAATATTCTGTCAGTAAGTAATCTACTAATAACTTGTAGAAAAAATATTGATATCGATAAAACTAAATGCAATATCAAAGTGCTTTTTAAAATTATACATATTTTCATGATATTTGTGTTTTATGTTACTTGTTAGCTTATCAAAACAAGAAATCTTCTAACTGTTTATCTATTCAATAATGTATTTGTAGAAAAATAAAAACGTTTTTGGGTTTGGAAAAAACTGAACAAAAAAAAAAACAGTTTAACAGATAACCAAGTCCTAGTTGCTTCTGAAAAGATGTATTCAAGATGCTCTAGGTTTGCTGATGTAGTGTGCAGGGAGATCCCCAAGTAAATAATTACTGGTGTCTGTATTCTGAAACTTGTCAATTTATGGGAGCATTAAAAATGTATTTATTGTGACAGAGTAAACTATTAAGACCAGAACCACCAATAAAATAAAAAAAAAAAAAAACACACTTTAAAAATATTAAAATACTAGAACTACTAGAGGGCAGCTACAAAAAGTGAACAAGTTTTTTTGAATAGAAAAGATAGCAGTGATCTTTTTTCTATTCAAAAATAAACATAAATAAACATAATATTAAAAATCAAAAAATAAAAGGATGATGAGGCCAAGAGTGAAGACATTAAATTCTTGAGGCATTGTCTGAGAGGGGATATGATCAAACTTGGAAATGTGGAAAATGGATTTTTTATGAAAATGCTCACAGAGGGCAGGAATATCTAATTTAAATGTCAGAGAAAATCTAAAAAAATTAAGATAAAAATAAGAAAAAATAAGGTAACTATTCTGATGGTGATTTTTTAAGCACAGATAGTGATAATCAAACTGTGTGCAATGAACTATATTTACTTCCAGCTGAAGTCCAGAAATATTAGAAAATATTTCAGAGTGACATCAAAGTTTGTCTTTACTTAAGTATGGAAGACAATCTTCACAAATCAATTCCAATTAAAACTATATTTGGGATTGGAGTCAGGACAGGTATGTGCCTTTTGTCTTCTCTTTACTAGGCTGGTAAAAAAAGAGAACGCCTAGCAAAATCACCAACATTTATAAATTTGAAAGTCCACATAAAATTTTGATTAAACTTTACACACACTCACACTAAAGTATGCTTTTGAGCACATTGATACTAATATTAAATGTAAAAAAAGCCATGGGTATATTTAAGTTACATATATACTGTATCTATACATATACATATACATTTTTAATTTTATATATTTTTTAGTATATAAATAATGCACATTATCACATAATTGAATACTTTTAAACAACCATTAAAACATTTAACTATTTTACAACTATAACTAATAATAATATTAAAATAACTACTAAATAATTTCTGTCTCGGTAAAAATCTAAAATATAAATATAAACTGTAACATCTATTAAACTTATCATAACAAAATTAAATTTACTACTTGTTTGAAAATTGTAATAAAACATGAAATTCAGAGTTGCAATATATATATATATATATATATATATATATATATATATATATATATATATATATATATATATATATATATATATATATATATATATATATATATATGTACATATATATATTATGTTTGTGTATTCAACAAATAGAGTGCTCAATGTTCTTAAAGAACAGAGCTATAATAAATTAGTAAAAACACTTGTATAATTTTTTTTCTTAAACAACTTGTTTCACCATCAGTTTGGTGCTTCCTGATGAAAAGGATTTCAGGTCAGCACAAGAATGCCATACATTGCCGAAGTCAGGTTGGCAAAATTTTGCTTTTGTTTTTTTGCATCCTGTTATTAAAGAGTTATTTATTGGTTAAAAACAGAGTGCTTTTAATAAATGCTGTTAGGCATATTATGATTTGTTTAGAGTTTTATTTTTGTAACACTGTAGCATTTCTTTTTTTAAATAACTTTAATAAAAAATCTAAATATAAATTTGAAATTTTTTTTTTCCTTGCTATGCTTGTTATCAATGAACTTGAGAAAAATGAAGTAAAAACAAAAAACATTTTTTTAAAAATAAAATTTGTCTAACTTGAAAAAACAATTAAGTATAATAAACAAATTATGAACTCATATTGAACGAATATTATATTCTTTTTACATATACTTATTTTTGCATTCTGACACTTTCAAAAATTCAGATTGGCAGTTCTATGTCACAGTAAAGAAAAGACAGATCAGCTTTTGGCATTGTCAAATGCTGACCTAGATTCTGCAAGTATATATATACATATATATATATATATATATATATATATATATATATATATATATATATATATATATATATATATATATATATTATATATATATATATATATATATATATATGTATATATATATATATATATCAAATGTAGATTTAGTTGTACATAAAAAAACTAATTATGCCTAACTGAAAAAATTAATAGTTAAATCTACCTCTAAAGTTCCATTAATTGGCATTCTTCCTTTTAACACTGATTCCTATTTTATAATGAATTATATATTTGTAATAAACTTATGTATATATATGTATACTTATGTATATATACATATATATATATATATATATATATATATATATATATATATATATATATATATATATATATATATATATATATATATGTATATATATATATATATATATGTATATATATATATATATATGTA